TATCGGTATGTTTCAATGATATATATAAAGAATGCGTGTAATTGTTTCCTATAAAAAAACATTTCTGCTAAAAAGAGGAAAAAAGGAAAAGAGCGCCTTTTCGAATAAAAATCGAGTGTTCGCAGAAAGATTAGAATTTAAGTAATCAGAAGAAACGGCACGAATAGCAGTCACATAGATATGTATCTACACAACCAAATACGAATTATATATGATTAGTCTCGGAGTTTACAAATTAATAGATTAATCCAACGTAGTGTTTAGGCGCTTTATCTCTTACATTACTTATTTACGTTTTTATGCCTGTCTTTTGGATTAAAAGTAGCTACTTCATTCATTTTTGTACACCGAACACTCGCTTTCGAGCGAACAGTATCTCACGGCACGACACACGGCGCAGTACGATAGTGCTCGCTTCACGCTCGAGTCGTCGTCGTCGCTATTTTTCCATCCAGATATACGAAATAAAAGCGTAAATCGAAAGAACTAGAAATATTTACAGTTCCCATTATAACTATTGCTCCATGTACACGCACACATCCTCATCATCCTTGTCCTCAGCTCTATCTTGTAACATAGTTAAATATATCGCAAATATGAGAGGTGAAAATATCTTTCGCAACGCGCCACCACATCGAGGGGTTTAAATACCGGTAGATACAATCTTAAACGCTAAATCACGGTTCTAAGTCTATCTTTATTCAAGAATTTACCTCTTTTTTTTTTTGTAGATTTGAATATTTCCAATAGCAACAATCTTCAAGATCGCACAAATAGGATTGGAGGTGCAATTTCCATTCTGTGTTTTGTTTTTTTCTTCCCTACGATACTGCTTCTCAATAACGTGTATTATCGAAAATACTATATATAGCCATTTCCATCTTAAGGGCGATTCAACAGTCTTCTGCCAGTGCTTTCACAACAAAATTATTCAAAATCCGCGCGGCTTTCTCGTCGCCGATTTCACTTTTGGGAAGTAGACGGGCCCTCTGCTTTAATCGTCACAGATTTGCTACTCGCTTCAGACTTGGAGCTGGATTGAGTTCGTTCTCTGGCAGTGACTTGCGATTTGTTCGCCTCGAAGGGCTTCGTAGAGAAACCGGAACTCTGTCTGTTTCGAGGCTGCTGCTTGCTGAGATCTCGCTGGCTGCTGCACGACGGAAACGTGTCATTCCGTCGTCGTAAGTGATACATTTTAGAACCGAAAGAACCAGCTCTACTTCGAAGCTGCGGTAAATGCGACTCTTGCGCGTTTGGCAGTGCAATGTTGTCGTCTGAGAGTAGGCATTCGCTGCTTGTCGGGGCATCTTCCTCCCTCGCGCTTTCAGAAACGCTTCTGTAACGTATTCTCGCAGCTTGGAGCATCTCGTGTATTTGAGGCTGTAAAAAAAATAACAAATATTATGTAGAAACGAGTTCTAAATGAGCTATTAAAAAATTATTAAAATTAATTATGACGAGTAAATAAGAATGCAATAATACTCACTTCTACTACTCTAAAGTCTTCAATATTCTGGAATTTCGATAGATACTCTTGCAATTTAGGATCTACATGAAGCTGATCAGAATTCTTATAGTATTTCAAAAATGCCCAAAACTTTTCCAATCCATACAGCTGACCTGTTGGTTTAACAATTTAATTTAACATTAGTATGATGTAGCAATCACTTTTATTAATCTAATTTAACTTGTGTATAAATTAAATTTACATACAAGTTACATTAAGTTATTTTAAATTATTTTCTTGTTCGTGTATTACTAATTGAAACCTAATTTCAGGATAAGAATATCCTTCTGGCATTAGTAAAACACTTGATTTGCTTTCGCACAAATATACCGTTTAACTACCATACAATAATATAGTTAAACAACCCATTTTGTGCTGATCTTTATTTACTCTGTGACGAAAATGCACATAATAAATTCTTTAACTTACCGCTTTCGTAATCATACATCGTTTCCATTTCAAAATCTTTATACAACGTATGTCTGAACTTCCTCTCCAAGCCGTAACTGTAAAATCTGAAAAGGCACTCTAGTCCGTATCGGTATCCTTCGCAAGCATCCTCTTTGGCTACAGTTCTAAATTCTTCGTACATGGTACGATTGAAATTCTCTCGCAAGAAAAACGACCAGAAACGGAAAAGAGTGTTCATCTCTTGCGACTGTCCGATACCCAATCGTTTGCGTTCTGAAAAGATACGAACACGACACGTAAGTAAAAATCTTGATTCAATGTAATCATAAAATTTGTTTCAAATAATAGTCAGTTAAAAAGTATTTTCCGCAAATCTCTTTCTCAGTCGGGAAAAGAAGACAGATAAATTCATCCTCTTGTAACCGTTCAAATTAATAACTTAAGAGGATAACGCTACATTGATGAGATACCTTTCAAGCAGCGCGAATGATATTTGTGATATGCCTGTTGAGTAAATCCATTATCCTTCAACAAAGCGTGACTCGGATGCTCGCAGATACTGGGAACACTTCCGTAACTGCTAGCCAGGTAACCTTCGTTAGGACTTGTGCCCGCACTACTCCTGAAACAGTAAAACAGAGAAAAAAATTTAAAGTATACGCAAAGCAAACTCAAATTTTTCCGTTTTTCCGTTGATTATCACTCAGACCAAAACTATTCAGCAAGGTAATTTCTTCAGTTGGGAAAAGAAGACAAAAATGAATGATTCATCATGTGTGTACTTCTCATTTTTACAAGACCAGAAATATCATTAGCGATATTTAATATAAATTAACGATAATTAATCGAAAAATAAAAACATAATTAAGCATTTCCGCTATTTTAAGATTGCAATGCCAAATACCTTCAATTTACGAAGTACAATCGAACCTCTATAAACTCGAAAACCACTCGAATTTTTTCCTTTAAAAGCCATTACAATCGGAAAATTATAAACTCTCGTACAAGGCTTCCGTAAGTTCGAATTTTCATGTCAATTCTCTTTTACTCAAACTTTGATAAAACGAAGCTTCTATAACTCGAAGATTTTTATAGCTTCTCCCTTGAGATTCGAGTTATCGAGGTTCGACTGTACGTGTATTTCACAGGAAATCAGCAACTATACTGTAACTCGTATAACTTAAATCTTTACGCTCTTTAACACGTTAGCAATGAAGTATTACTTTATTTTGAGAAATCGAAAAATATATATTTCGGTTTGCGCTGCAAGTTTGTAGCGAGCGAATGTTACATACCCCGTGGAATACGTCCGGGGACGATGCTCCCGCACATCCATAATCCAGCCGATGTGATGCTCCACCGGAGGATTATTGCTGTGACGAGTCTTCCTCTTTCGCGGCGTTCTCGGATCAACAGACGGTCCATCTTTCACAACGGCGAAGAAACGAGGCGCAGTATTCCTTCGACCTTCACTCGAACACAGTTTGTCGCTCCAACGATTCTTCTCCGATCTGTTATCCTTCTTCTCGGGACTTACGCTTGGAAGCTGTTTAACAAACATACATAGAATATGTAATGTATTTTTCTGTGAAATAATTTTCATTTCACAAAGTTTGAAATACCTGTAACGACGAAGCAGACTGCGGAACTTCTAAATCTTCTAAGGAGGGGGGTGGCGGTGGAACTTCCGGATTCGCTTTCTTCGGAGCTTTTGGCGCCATTTTTTCGAAATCCTCTTGGCTAATCATATTAACCGTTTTGTAGCTCCCAATGGAGGAAGAAGAGCCGTACTGCAGGTTAATAACATTAATTTATTAATACCCTACGTCTATTTGTTTCTAAGTTAAAGAGATTAAAGACCTAACTCTTACTCTTTGAAAACTTTGTCTCCATAATTCTTCCTCGTAATAATTCAATCCGTCGTTGATAAGCTGTTCCAAGTCTTGAGTCATTTTTACTCTCGTAATCCAGTCTCCTGTTCTATCATGGCCCTCATGCTTTGGGATTCTGCTAGATGATACCGCATTGGTTTGCGTAAATATTAATATTTTGTTAATGTCTCTATCGGATAATTCATTATCGTCGTCATCTTCGGACCTGTGCATAATAATCACACATCGAGATATAAGCAGGCAAGTTAATATATTTTTAACTAAATTAAATTAAAATTTATGGCTTATAAAATTAATTAGTTATGTTAAAAGTTGCATAAATAAAAAATAACTTAAAGTTAAGATTAAATTAATATTTGATTTGTTTTAATAGTATAGATTTTCCAATAATAAAAAGGAGCAGCTTGTTTTTGCAAGCAATTAGAATAATAAACTAGGGTAATTAAATAAGCAAAATTTAGATCACAATTTAAAATAACGTTTTATTCGTGAGAATTAATCACATTATTTAGAAATCTTGATGAAACGTTTCGAACTTAAGGCCCATCTACATAAATCGCAAACGCAAAACGCAAACACAAACTCGAAGAAAGAAAAAGAAACGTCAAAAAAAAGAAAAGAAAATCTTATGTAGATGGGACTTTAATCAATCTCAGTTATATCAATAAAATTAATTAAGATGAGTATGGAACAAACGTGAACAAAAGAAACAAGAACAAATCTAACAGTTAAAACAAAAAATTATTGTATATAAAGTAAAAAACAAAAGTTCATGAAGAGAAAGATTTTTTTAGAAAAATCTAAATTAAATCATACTTAGACAATATTCTATTTTATTAACAACGTTTCAAGACTAACTAACCATTCCGAAAAGGCATTATGTCGCCCAGTCGGCGGTGGTGAGTCGAATTCCTCGTCAAATTGAAAATCCAGCTCTTCTCGTACTACATTTTTAACGGCTTCAGATTTCTCTCTTTCTTCCGTTCTGTCCTTGTGCGGTTGCTTGACTCTTCTTCTCACCTACAAACAATTCGTTTCCATGAATCCCACATGAGTTTAATTTTCGTCAATTTTTGTAATTTGGAACGCGAATGAAGAATAAAACGACGAATTACCTCTTTCCAAGTATTGTCGCTCAATGTATCCAATTCTCCGTTCATTCGCTCTGACAAGCTGTCCGAGGTGAGAGAATCTGTTGTGGCTGGTGATTTATTGTCTTCTTTTATCTTCATAGATGGATTATTATTAGGAGGATGAAGAAACATATCTGCGATCGCCAGTGTCTCTTTTATCATCGTGTCGAAGTTGAATTTGTTTGCCTTCGCTTGATTACTCTTATTCGTAGCGGTAAATCCATTAGTTCTTTCCGTCGGCACGAACTCTGGCACGTCGGGATTTAGAATCTCGTTCATCGAGGAGGGATTTATCTCTGGTTCGCTATGTCTTCTTACTGTCGAAATGGAATGGTAAGAGTCAAACACACGAGGAACTGGGGGAGCGGGCATTGTGGATAAGGGCTTCGCGACGGGGCAAAATGTAGTTTCAGAGGTAGGAATTACTTCATTTTCAACTGGGACAGGCTGTTCCGCGTGATCTGAAAAGGCAATATTATTGGCTATGTCCGAAATAGGCCATATTTCCGGGTCAAACTTCGTCCTAATCTGAAAAGATAAAATAATTTATACCGTTAGAAAAATTTGCCATTCTGTACATAAAGAATATATACTAGGGCTGGTGATTTGCTTCAAAGGCTTCGAGACATTCGAGCTTCGAAGCTTCGAAGAATACATTTGTAAAAATTATAAATTTATTCAGAAAATTTACAAATATTGTAAATAAAAAAAATTAATATATTTACGAAATTATTCCTAAAAAATTGGAAAATATTATAACCTAAATATTACAAATATTACAAATTAATAATTAAACTTGATACATGTGTAAATAAGAAAAAATAATGATCAATAAAACAATCCAATTAAGAAAATTCAAATTTTTAATGTATTTTTCAAAGCTTCGAAGGCACCTGAAACTTCGAAAGATCGAAGATAACGTCTAAGCTTCGAATTCTTTCGAAGCTTCGAATATCCGAAGTAAGTAAAAAGTAACAGCCCTAATATATACACAAAATTCAATTAATTATATGTAAAGAGGTCTACTATCAAACCCCATTCATCGAACTTAAAATAAGCTCTAATGGTGTCAGCGAATCCTCTTCTACTTACTGTAGCACAAATTTTGTATTTAGTACGTATGTAACATGCTAAATTTTTTTGAAAATGTGTGCTATACGTACAATTTCGTACAACACGCGCCATTTTTTTTTATTAATTTACAATTACGTTTATAATACCTTATATCCATCTTCTGATTCTAACACCTCTAGTCTATCAGATTCCTTGACTGCAACCGTCACCAACTCCAGATCCATCGTTAAATTTTGTACACGTTGAAAAGATGCGATCAAAATGAGGGGCAAAAATCCTTCCTTGTTCATTTTACGACGTAGGAAGAAGTCCTTCACGAGATTTTCTTCGGAAAAGTAATACTCTCTGTGTGCAAAAAAAATGAGGTTATCGTCCAAGTTACGCGACACACATACAAATTATATAGATATAAAAAAAATATTTATAAAATTTAACCTACATTTGTTTACGTATGTACTCCTTTAATGTAGTGGTATCTATGTAACTTGCACTATTAAAATAGCATGTTCCCATATAAGGTATCATATATCCAGAGTCCGTATGTTCGTATTTTTGGGTCTGCAAAAAAGGAGAGAAAGGGAAGCATTATGTCACGGGGTCTATCGTGAAAGAAGCGTAAAGCGGAAAAATGTAAATTTCGAAGGTTCTCTTCAGTTCTACTATCGCTTATTATCCATCAGAATATGATCAGATAGATTCCCACTTGGTAACATCATTATCGAAAAAAGTGTCTATCGTAAATAATTAATTTAGGCTGCATAATATCAGTAGGAAATTACCTGTGCAGAGTCCGTCGTATAATTTGTATACTCGTGATCGTATCGGTGTCTAAAACCACCACGGCCGCGCCCGCCCCGTCCTCTACTTCGGTAATTTCTTCCACCGCGTCCTCCGCGTGAATTGTATCCCGTCGATCTATCGTAATCCCTTTCACGCCAGTGCTCACCATCGTTCGCTGTGATTTTTTAAAATCACGGTATCGTAATTAGCATTTATATTCATTTGTTTCTGTTTTATCACGATATGCGCGCGATGCATTTTTCAACACACACACACGCGCGCGCGCAATATCGCATTTGTACATACAAATGTAAAATATATTACCTTCACCATTTCTTTCCCGGTGATTTTGAAACCTTGGCGATCGCATAGTCCCACGGTTCTGTGCCAAGTCAATCTCAAGCGGGACCCATTTTTGTTTATTCGCTGTACAAATGACAATCAGACGTGGAATGCAGATTGAAAACGACATTTCCTCATTTACATTTCAAGCAGAAGTGAGAAACTCTCATTTGAAAACAACGTTATTACAAGAGGTTACAATTATCTATTATCTATACGCAATTATCGTAATGAATTCCAAGCGCACAGGTTTCCTCACCTTTCCTTTTCTTTTCATTATTATCCATGTGCTCATCGCTATCGTCTTGATCCTGAATCTGTTCCTTGTTCTCCTTGTTTTCCTTGCCTTTGCTTTCGGTAGTGCTGCACGCCTTGGAAGTACTTGGTTCACCATTGAGCACACCATTTTGCTTCGGAGGAGATATGGAGGTTGCTTTCCTCTATACAATATATAAAAGACCAAATATCGTCTATTGTATAAACACAAAAATAAAAAGCAGTATGATAATAGGGAATTAGGAGCAAAAGATAACTTTCGAGAAATGCATGAGTGTACGAATACTGAACACTTCTCAGACATAGAAATTTTTTATCTGAGATGACATAACATTCGATATTTCTCTAGCAAAATTTCTACACTCACAGACGCATGATTATATCATTTGCAAGCTCTAGATTTTGCATAGTTGATTACGAAATAAATTTAACTAGATACAGCTGTAAGTAGTAATTTAACAAAAACTTCAGTAACGATACCCACCTCTGTTTGTGTTCCTAAAGTAGGCCAGTCTCCAATGTTCGTAAAATCACTCGCCTATTGCAAAATATACAAAATGTATTATACATGTTAAAGAAAATGTTTACAGAATTAGAAAAAAAGAAAGAATATCTTAAGCGCATTTTTTTTTAACTTATTATTAATTCTGGAAAACAAAACCTTTTGACAAATTTTTATTTATTAACATTTGTTTGTCTTTTTTCTGAATTAATTCCTTAAAATATTAACTAATAATATATAATGTATAAATAAAAGCCGCACTAAATATATTTGGTTCAATAAAAAAATATACGATATAGGTATTTCATATCAACGATTTTTAATAAAACCTTTTTTTAATTTAAATAAAAATTTGATTTTTTGTGATATCTATTAAACTACTGGATGTGTTTATTTTTTATCTTTCCAGTCCATTCCTGCGAAAGCAATTGTGTTTAGTTATTTATTATACACTAAAAATAGCACATTTTATTTTTAAAATATAAAAATAAAAAATTATCTTTTAAACTTATTATAATTTTAATAGTTAGATTATAAACTTAGTACATTCGTGCCATAAAATCGCCATAAAATCGCTTATCTTCTTACTGTTAGATAGACAAGTGCAAGCGCACTAAATGAATAAGAGAGAAAACACAAAAATATATCACATACGTTTTGATTGAATTTCCTCCTATCTCTGGGAGCTCTGACAATTGTAGGCTGGGCACTTTCGACACCATTTTCTGCAAATAAAAAAAGCGTTTTTATGTAAATATAAATAAAAAAACAACAGTTACATAAAATTGTATATAATACGTTTTTACAGATATGAATTAGTGTCACAAATTCGCAATAAAAATGTATCTTCAAAGGAATTTTTATTCCAAAAAAAAAATATGAAAGATACACGGAAGTAATTTTTGCGCTTAATCGGACGCTACCGTTGCAGTCGAGAATTTTGTATAAGCCACTCGTTGCAGGATTCGTGTTTAATATAATTCAGGACAGCATGTCAAACATTCCCCCCCCCCTCCCCCTCAAAATCCGTCTCCGAACGAAAATAATTATATCTTTATCGGCTCCTTCGTAACCTGTGTTCCAAACTGCGTGACCTCGATTATCTTTACCGCACACACGCGCGTGTTTCACGAATATTTTTATCTGCAACATTCGACGTCAGGTTGGTGGCGGGAGGCGGAGTAGATGCAAAATCGAAAAATTTCGATACAAAAATTTAACTCATTTATTTCAACTCATTGTTTATTACGCATTAATTGCTTCTTTTTTTCCTTGACAAAATTCTTCGTAGCTCTTACGATTTATTTCCACCGTGAACGAAATATTTAATTTTGTAATAAACATTAATTAAGAGACAAGTCTCGGAAAACATGGCACTCGAGGTGACAGACAAGGTCATTAGAGCAAGAATTATATTGGTATCATATATTAATTTTACACCACGCATTTTTAACATATTCGAACATTTTTAACATATACGGAGAGAATTTTTTTTTAAATTTACCCTGTAAATCATGTTAATTGTGGGACAATATAGTATTTAGGCAAATTTTACTGTGCACTACAATAAATTTTACAGTAAAATTTATTGTAGTACACAGTAAAATTTGCCTAAATACTATATTGTCCCACAATTAACATGATTTGCAGCCTAAATTAGAAAAAAAAATTCTCTCCGTGTAGTATCCGTAAAAAATTGTAATTAGGCGTCGTTTTATTCTTTCCATCTTGCATTTTCTTGTCGTATATTCTCTTATCGTAAAATTTTATCTTAAGGAATTGCATCAGATAGATATTGGAGTTTTTACTAATATATTTATGAGTTTTATATAATGAGTATATTATACATCATTAACATAACTTTCAGTTCTGCGTGTCACGTTTGAAAGAGTTGAAGCGCGAGTTGCGCGTACACAGGATCCAAAGATCTGACAAGCGAAACATCAAAACAACTTCCGCGATCTTTACCCGAATCGCATTGGTTTTTATTTTTACTCACTGAATTTTTACTCATCACAGATATTTTACGCTGCATTCTCATAGTTGGTCTTATTTTTACGCTTAATATTTATGTTTAATTTTGTCTTCGTGCCAAGGAACGCCGAAGCCGGATAATTATGGCAAATTGCCCCGTACGATGTGGGCGTTCAAAATAATAAACAACGACGACTTGAATGCGATTCGAGCATTCTCTCCCAGTAGGACTGCGCGTAAGATGAAACCTCTTTTTCGAAACAAACTATTTAAGAGTTTAATTAGTTATATTCAATATATATATAATTATATATATGTATATAATAAATCGTTTTGCGATTCTTTTGTATACGTGAGTTCGTTTTTTCTTTTTTTAGCGTTTTTTTTTCTGAAAGAATGTCTTCAATAAAACTTAAAAAAAATTAAAACAAAGTTTTTGCTTTTTAGGGATTAAATAAAGGTAAAAAAAAAAAACATTTATAATCTGTACCAGAGGCGTAACTGCGTGATTCACGATTTTAATGTCTCCACTTGGAATTACGTACGCAATGTTAGGCCATATAAAGATGCGATAATACATGTGTCACGAGGTGTAATAATTTCACGTAATCCTATCACGACTCAGCATGATCCGTTATACCGGAATGTTACCGGAAGTCGTAGAACAATACATGATGTTCGTACTTGGTCGGCGATACAATACAAATGCAAAATTTAACGATTTAGCCGGCTCGCAGATAAGCAAGTTAGTAGCGTACAAGCTGTGATAGTGACAGATAAGAAATGCCTTTAACGGTCTATATCAAACGACATGAATAATTCTTTCGTCGCATACAGCTAAGTTTGTACGCGTAACAAAAGAACGTTCCTATGAAAAAAAATTAAAATACGTTCGGACGAATCAAAGTTCAGAGTTATTTGTTTCGAGATTCTAACTAGAGTCGCTACTTAAAGGAGAGGATTACGAAATCGTAGGGCAAAATTATAGGATCTCTTTGAGGTCCTTTCTCTCATCGCTGATCACGGCATATCTGCATATCAATGTATTCGATCAAATTAACATATCAAGATATTCGCGATTAGCATAAAATTCAAATTTTCTTCTTAATTTTTTTTTCCTTCATGCGATTGGCTACGTTTTCGTCGATATTCTTTTCTAAAAAGTCAGTTTTTCTTCGGCTGTCCGTAAAACTTTCGACAAAATCATTTAAAATCGAAATGACAAAATCACGGTCTATCTTCATTCGTCGAATTGAGAAATATCACGAAAAATTTTAGCCACCATCGTGAGTTACGTTCGCATCGCGAACTTATAATATGCATATAAGGAAGGTAGAAGCGGTGACGATGTTCGACCACTATATTACGTCTATGATGTGTCGACTCACTTTTAAGAGCGTCGTCTTCACTCTCGTCTATCTTCATCGCGTCGCGCGTACGCGATCTCTCTCGCTTGGACCTGACACCCGTTCCGCTCGGTTGTCGCGCCCAAGTTGCGGTCTAATTAAATTGCGGTCTTAATTGCACATCAGCAATGTGAGAATATACCGTGGTGGAATATCGCGCGAACGAAAAAAATTCCCCCGCGTGTATTTCGATGCAACCCGATCGCGGCCGCACAGTTTATTATACGCACGTCAGCGCCCGTCGTTCATTAGACGGGGTATACACGTGTCTCTTCTCTCTCGAGAAATAATTAAACGAGCGAGCGGATTGAAACGATTATTAGATCCCTCATCGTTGGCTCCTCGGCGAAGCCGAACGTCGTCGTCGTCGTCGCGACCTATACGCGCGAATCGGAGCACGCGACGCTCCCGGGCGTCGATAAATAACGCGCGATCTTTGCGAATCGATGCGATCGCACGACGACGGAGCGCAACGTATCGGCGTGTGATCGATGCTGAGGTCGCGATTCGAACGTCGACGCACCACTGAGAGAGCTGGCCGGCCTCAAGAGGCGAATCACGGCGACAGCAGGGCCGCTGCTCGCGACACGGGTAGCTGGGAACGCGAATACTCTCTCGGGCCTCTCGGCTGCTGCTTTCGGCGTGAACGGCACACGGAGTAGTAGTTTCCATCCCATCGGAATGGACGAAAAAGAAAAAAAAAAATACGTTGGATACAAAAACCCGACAAAAAATTATCTCATTTTATTTTCGTTATGCCACCTCGGACCCATTTTTTTTTTTCCATTCGATTCTAGACGAGGGGGACACACGCACGAGAACCCGCGGAGTTTCTACCAGACGGACGGAACGAGGCGGAGGAGGCCTCGGCGACCAAGTTAAATTGGGAGGCCACTGTTCTAGCAATTCGAAATGCCTCGTGCGCGCGCGGCGCCCGATCGAGATATATATTCGCGCCGCGGTCTAAACTCCAATCCGACCGTCCGATCCGACCGAAACAGGTTTCCGTCTCTCGCGACTCTCACTTTCCGCGACATATATTTTAATGTAGATTGAACGACGTCGGTCCATTGGCGGCAAGAGAGCCAAGGCCCAACGTTCTCGCGGCGCGCGTGCGGTTTAAAGGCTGCGAGAAACGCGCGATCTCCGATCGCGCCGCGCCCTCCGGAATCTCTTTTTTTTTTTCATCAATGCTGCTGCGGCGAATTGCGGCATTTTCGTCCGAATTTAGGTGCACGGAGATTGGAAGACGCCGATCCGCATATCTGTGTAGTTAATCGTGCGAGATCGACGAGCGGATTCAAGGCTAAAACGTCGCACGGGAATGGGAACTGACAAGACATTAATTCCAAAAATGTCATACTTGAATTGCAGATTATTTTGCGTCCTATTTTCCGCGGAGCTCGATCGAGCGTGTCGATCTCTGGTGGAAATTATTTATACGTGCGTTCCCTCTCTCTTTTTTCCCCCCATCGCGCGCACTGAGAAAATAAAAAATTTAAAAAAAAACCTGATTATAGAATGCAGTCGAAAGTTCCTAGAAATGTAACGCCGATTCGGTCCCCTCCGGCGCGACGCGGCTCGGCGGCGAGAGTCTAGAAACGTTCGCCGAGCACGTGGGGAGATATTAGGTAAGACGAGGCGTCACACGGACGCCTCTCGTGATTGCATCCCGTAGACGCGCGATTCGCGACGTCTACCGCGGCGCAAAAACGAGTGTCAATGTCATTGCCCTCGTGGCACTCTCCCCCCCCCCACCCCCCGCGCTGCTGCTTCTCGTCCCACACACGATCGGAACAAGTAGATCAATTACGTGGGTCCCGCAGATTCGGCAAGCTTCACGCGGCGCGCCGGAAGTGCGTGCGAGCCGAGCGGAGTTTCGTCGTCGAGTCGAAAATGCCACGGTATTATATTTTCGGTGAAGCGCGATGCTGCTGAGAGAAGCGGCACCGGCGTTGAAACGAGACGCCCCGTCGCGCCTTTACGAGGCGTTTAAATCGCGTCGGCGCTTCTCGCGAGAGAGTGTAAAAATGAGAAATGCGAAATTAGAGGCCCGTCACCTCCTTCGTCACGGTGTCGCAGTGTAAATTGCATATTACAGAAAACACAAGAGAATTATAAAATTTCTTGTGGAGGAGGACTTTGGAAATGCCATCGAAAAATATTCTATATAAATCTTGCTGCGACAAAACAAGCTTTCTTAATTATCGTTTTCTCGTTGTTTCAGAGAAAAACTTTTTTCTTGTTTAATCTTCTCTACAACAATTAGGATATTATTAATAAAAAAATATAAATGAAAAACATATATTCTTTAATTCTTTAAATAATCCTTTGGAGGATGCAGGCTGATCTCCGTGGCAAAAGGAAATTCATTAGCTCGCCGAAAAAAAAGTAGATGTCCCGATATGCAAATCCGATGGTGCTGCTGAAAGCAACACGTCGGACTTCCCATGCCACATGGACATTTCGATGCCACGTATGTATATACCGGAGACGTGTTGGCAAGTGTGAAGATAAGGTTGTCGGTCGGGTTGTGGCGCGCTCCGAGCTCCGCCACTTTTATTATCACGATTATCGAATAACCGAAGTGTAAATGACGCACGCCGCAGCTCGGATTTCTCTTTAACTTTTTCGTGATATAGCCGCTCTCAACTCGACTCAACCTTATCCATAAGACAAATTCTTGTGTTTTGCAAAATTATTAAACGTCTGCGGATAAATATCCGTCTCGCGGCGAGATTTCGTTGCGTTGCGCGCAAAGAAATTCTCCGATTAAATTAACATTACAGACGCGGTAGAAGTTCTTCCGCGACTAGATTCTTAAACGTGCATAAGTACGAGTTTAGAGGGAGTGTTTTTTTTTTTCGGCGCGCAAATATAAGATATTGGTTGAGAATCGATAAAAAGATATTCGGTAACACGCGGAAATAACCGCGATCGTATATATATTTTACATTGATTCTTTCCCTCGATCGACGGTGTTTTTGCTCAGGACCCCCACCGCGTCCCTCCACGATTTTTCACGACTCGCACACTCGCTCGTTTCTATTTTCATGCCTCGTTTCGTAATATATATATCCCATCCAAAACAGAGAGAGAGAGAGAGAGAGAGAGAGAGAGAGAGAGAGAGAGAATGAGACCTCCCGTACGGTTTTGTCACAGAAACGCGTTTCGCGTTCTTACAGAGTGTTTTTAAGTATTTTCAAGCATTCCAATTGAGAAATACGTACATAAAAATGTGCGCAATATTGTCCACAACGTCGCCTGATGGAAACTGCTGAGCATTTAAATACAAAGATACTTGTTGACATCGACTCGTTAGAAATAGCACATTTTTAAGTGATTTGAAAAGCTGAAAGCTTTCGATGAATTAATCTGATAAATGAAACCATTATAGATTCATGACAGATCAGACAAACATAGATAACCTTTCCCTCTTCGTAAAATATATATGGAGTTTACAGTATAATCATTCTTCAGAGTTTACTGAGATATTCCTCGATAAAATGTCAAGAAGAGCAGCGTCCGATGGAATTTTTATTAAAAAAAAAGATGACAAAGAGCGAGAAGGAAAGAGAAGAGCATCCCATGACATCATCCATAATATAATCTATTTATAGGAAATACTCCGTGAAATCGGATATTTCGATACGACCTCTCGAATTTCAGCGAGACCGCCGGTCGAGCGGCGAGGTGGCACGCGTTTAATAAAATATAAGGGGACCGCGCGCGCACGAGTGCGCGACAGGTTAACAATTATGTAATCGTTATCGCGCGCGCGCTAATGGCTATCGGAAGGTCCCGAAGAAAGGCGATAAAAGCGATTTTGCAATCGGGGCTAACCAAGCGAGGCAAGGCCGCGTGTAAAGTTCGTGGAGCTTTATTTATCGCATCAGGCGCAGTTTATCCCTCGCCGAAAACGCCGAGGTCAGCACGCGTAAATGCATATCTAACGATGCAAAAGATCCCCTATAACGAGCGTTCCGCGACAGGTGTCCGCGTGAAATTAATCGCGCGACAACATTTTCCGCCTCCGCGGCGGCTCTCTCGTCGTGAAACTCGGGGAAAATACTTGTCCGTGGAGTTGGAATTTACAAAATTCTCTTGCACTTGTGTGTTTCTTCCCTGTTAATAAATAAGCGTTCTCTCTTGTGAAAAATGACAGTGAATATAAAATGAATGAGTGAATTTGATTAATATAGCCGGTTACATGTATTACACATAATCAAATTAAATGTAATTGATTGTACATATAAAAATAAAAAGATCGATATTAATTTCAATATAAATGAATATTACATTTATAAAAAAAAAGTCTATATAATACACGTTAATAGAATTGATTAGAGATTAGCTAAACAAGTCTGTCAACAAGAATGTTTAAAATTTTGTCAAGTGTGCTCTTAAAAATTGTTCAACTCACCGGTTGCACCCTGCTGCTGCTGCTGCTGCTGTTGCGGTTGCAACACTCTCCTCTCCTTTTCGTTCTGTTTGTCGGCGCATGTGGATACTACGAGGACATTGGGCGGTTGCTGCAGCGGCTGCTGCTGCTGCTGCTGTTGTTGCAAGGGCAGAGTCTTTACGGGTTGCGAGACAACCACCGGCGTTCGGTTTCTCGTCCAGGGATTCACCGCAGGTAAGGGCGCTTCGACGTATTTGACCGGCGGCGGCGGAAGGGACGCCGACTGAGCTTCCGCTTCGACGATCTGCTCGTCCTTGTAATGATGGGCCTCCTTCGGGCCGTGATCGAGGACGCCATTGCGGTCGGCGCGCTCTCTGTGCGATCTCTCGTCGCTGCCGCGTCTACCGGCGCCTCCGCCCCCGACGCCATTGGCACCACGTGGTGGTGGCTGATGGCGGTTGTTGTTCTCGCGCAGCCGGTGACGCTCCCGGTTGCTGCTCTCGCGGTACTGCTCGCGCATCTTCTCCTTGCGCCGGGCGCCCTTCGTGGCGACCGTCTGGAACTCGCCGTCGAGGCCGCCGTTGTTCAGCCGCTCGGCGTCGCCCCGCTGGCCGTCCTCCTCGCGTGACGCGCCGCCACCGCCGGCCGCCGTCGGCGCCGTTGATCCATGATCGACGTCGACGTGCGCGACCGGCATGCTCGACGGGCTCACGTGGCGGTCGTGGCGCCGATCTGAACAGCCACCCGGGACGGCGGTCTGTGGACACCGAGTTATTCTCTGATACGATTTACCACCCTTCACACTTGGCACTATCCTCTCCCTCGCACTCGTCGCCGTCTGATGCTGCGACTGCTGTTGCTGCTGCTGCTGCGAGTGTTGCTGCTGCTGTTGCTGCTGTTGCGACACTGTTACCTGATCGTCTATGTTCTCCTTATTGTTGCTCTTGAACGCGTTGCTCGCACGACTTTGCGAGGCACCTTTCGGATTCAGCACACTGGCGTAGGACTGACAGGGCCCCGCCTCCTGCCGCTCGGCGCCGCCGCTCCGAGCGCCACTTTGGCTGGCCAGCTTAGCCGCCATCTTGCGGCGCACGCCGTCGAACAAAAACACGAGGTTCGCGGACCGTGCACGAGGTCGTGCGTTCCGCTGCGGTCCACGAATTCCGTCGTCGCTGCCGTCGGGGACGCCGCTCTCGCGCGGAAGGTCCTCCGAGCCTTCTCGCCTCTCGCGGGCGGGGGAGGAAATTCACGATCACGGCCGACGTCGGCTCGACGACGGCTCACGGATGGCGGGATGAACTAACCTAGCGCGCGTCCTCGAACTTCATATGCCTCTCTTCATTCTGGGGAGGAGGGGAGGGGAGGAAGGGGGGAATTTCGGTACTTCTCGCGTGCGTTCGCTCTCCTCTCCCCCGAGGGGCGAAGGGAGCGCGACAGCCGGGGCACGTCGAGGGTCCTTCGGTCCCGACGCGTCGCAGGCCAGAGAGGTACTCGCGTGTCTTCTCTCCCCCGAGAGGCGCGCGCGCGCGCGCGCGTGGCGTGCGCGCACGCGGTCGCGTGAACAAAGCAGATGTAGCACCCTACGCTCGCCGCGTGTGCGATCCCGGTGCGCGACACCGACGTCGCTCGGTGATCGCGCGAGGTCGCACCGGTAACACCACGTGCGGCACCCGCCGCGGATCACCCCGTGCTGCCCGGCGGGTTAGAACGAGCGCGCTGACTCGGCGCTTTTTCGGCGATATCGCGATCGGTCCACCACCGGCACGCGGTTCCTCCAACAGCACCTCCGCGCACCGGAGCGATCTGTGCAACGTGCGGCGCCGCCGCCGCGGATCACGGGGATCTACTACTACTCGAGGCGCGCGCGGACGACCGTCGGTGGGCACCCTGGACGTGCCACCATACGCGCGACTCGCCAGCGAACGGCGGACACTCGCGCGCGGCGCAACTCCCGGTCGGGTTTCGTCACGTACCTCCTCGGTTTCTCTCTCTCTCTCTCTCTCTTTCTCGTCCTCGGCGAAGTCGACGTCTTCACGCTACTCGCTCGGCAAACTCGGCGTTTAACTTCGCGCGACGGCACACCACTGCTCGACGAAACACTTACCGCGCCGTGCCCCGCGTGCCTTACCAGTACCGGCGTGGCATCGCGTTACCGCGGATTACGTAAACGCGGCGCATCTTCGGCGGAGCTCTTTCCACGGGAAAACGGTACGGTACGGCAGACACATGTGGCCTGACGCTGGCGAGGCCTCGGAAAGCACGAGAGCGGCGCGGGCGAGCCGACCGGCTTCCGGTCTGATCGATCACGCGAACGGCACGCCAGGCGGCGCGCGTCGCTTCCGCGGCGGCCGCCCGCCGCGTTCTTTTGAATTCGAACGTATCTACCTGGTGTGTATGTATGTACAGTCGTGGACACATCGGTTGCAACACATTTTTTTAATAGGTTTCTAATATATATTTAATATACATAATATATACTTTATAGATAACTAATATTTTGCAAATGCGAACCACGATGTACTATATTTAGTCTAGAGACAGTATAACACGTCAATCGTCTCATCGGACGCTGCTCTTCTTGACATTTTATCGAGAAATATTTCAGTAAACTCTGAAGAATGATTATACTGTAAACTCTATATATATTTGACAAGGAGGGAAAGGTTATCGATGTTTGTCTGATCTGTCATGAATCTATAATGATTTCATTTATCAGATTAATTCATCGGAAGCTTTCAGCTTTCAAATCATTTAAAAATGAGCTATTTCTAACGAGTCGATGTCAACAAGTATCTTTGTATTTAAATGCTCGGCAGTTTCCATCGGGCGACGTTGTGGACAATATTGCCCACATTTTTATACACGTATTTCTCAATTGGAATGCTTGAAAATCCTTAAAAACGTTCTGTAAGAACGCGGAACGCGTTTCTGTGACAAAACCGTACCGGAGGTCTCTCTCTCTCTTTCTCTCTCTGTTTTGAAACCTATAAAAAAGAAAGTGTTGCAACCGATGTGACTGTACATACAGTCGTGGGCAATGAGGTGCGACACTTTTTTTTTTAGTTAATTTAAGAATGCGTAAACTCACAAACATGTATATAAAATGATACTGTACCAAATGTTAATACTAACATCAAATTATATCATTTATTTAATATTATTTGAGAAACATTATTAGAATGTTAAAAGCCACACGTTCATAAAACCACCAACGAGATACTATTAAAGACCGACACCCTTACGGGAGTTAGCGTTGGCTGTTTAGTAATTGCTAAAATTTAAGCAATTATAGTCAATAATATAATATTAATTTAATAATTTATTATTGTTATATTAATGTTTTTTAGACATGTATCTTGTAATTCATCTGTATTATAACTTGCTAATAGTTAATTTTATTTAAAACGGCATTTTGATAGTTATTGATTATCCATAGAAATAGTAAAACAGTTGGTAAAAAAATGTAATTTTGCGGCAATATATTTGATATTATAGCATTATAAG